GTAAGCGCTCTGGGTTACAAAGTGCCGAATTAACTCTGTCTATTCTGACACAAGTGGTAGAGCCAGTTAGCCACGCGACGACGGCATTCCGGTGGTCTACGCTATCTTCATGAGCTGTTGCTTTTGGAGCCCAGCTCTTAGGCGCCCGTTTCCGGTTTGAGCGGCATCGCCCTCGGCGTAACCGCGCGTTGCATCATGGGAAGTTTCCTACAATGACGTCACACGTGACGTCATGTGTGACGTCACGAGGGTTACCCTCGTGAGGGTTACGAGGGTTACCCTCACGAGGGTCACGAGAGTTATCCTCACGAGGGTCACGAGGGTTACGAGGGTTACCCTCACGAGGTTCACAAGGGTTACCCTCACGAGGGTTACGAGGGTAACCCTCACGAGGGTTACGAGGGTTGCCCTCACGACGGTCACGAGGATTACCCACACGAAGGATTATGAGGGCTACCCCCACGAGGGTCACGAGGGTTACCCTTACGAGTGTTAAGAGGGTTACCTTCATGAGGGTTACCCTCACTAGAGCCACTAAATCAACTCATTCTTAGAACGACATAAAGCAGAGGCAGGATTTTCCGGCGTTTTAAAAAAGTGCCAACTTTAGACGCCTTTCTATGTTTTGATTTCTTATCGGAGCGCATTTTTGCGCCCACAGCCCTGGCCCCCGGTGGTCACGGCGCGAAGCCACCCTCTCGACTCCCTCGTAACATGGAGGGAAGTTGGGCGCACGTGCGTTGCGCGTCTCAGCCACTGAGGAATAGGACCGCAGGCGCAGAGATGCGCTCCGATAAGAATTCAAAACCTAGAAACGCGTCCAAATTGAGCTTTTTTACGGAACGCCCCTGCGTTATATCCTTCTAAGAAAAGTTGATTTAGTTGTTCTCGATGAGGCTGAGCAAGTTTCTAATTGGAACCATATGTCTATTTTCACTAATGAAAAAGTTAATTAACAGTTAACAATTAAGTAGCAGACTGATCGTTACGATTAGCCCCCTATACAATGTCCCCCTGGCTATATAACGCACCTGGACAAGCCGCATAAGTGTCTTTTCACGGCTGTCTTTAAACAAATCTGTAAGTTAAAAAAGCACCTTGTATATATAGCTACATTTACGCCGTTTGTTCAGGTGAGTTATATATATATATATATATATATATATATATATGTGCGTGTGTGTGTGTGTGTGTGTTTCGATTCTTTTTTTGTTTTCATAGCGTTCGGGCGATCAAAAACACTGAACATCAGAAACTTTAGCAATAGATTAATGTACAAAGTTATAGTTCACAAGCGACTCAGACTTTCTCTCTCTCTCTCTCAAAAAGGAAGAAACTGTGTTTTGATTATATCGCGCTCTGTCGTCGTCCAGTCGACGTGGTAAACAAGGCAATCGGCGTCTGTGTCCCGTGGCACCACTTGAGCACTCGCCGTCTGGCCTCGGACCTGGCTTCTTCCGGATTATCTCCCAAGCGACCGGTGTCGGCGTTGGGTGAGCAACGCTGTCGCTTTCCACCAGTGTTGGGAGTAACGCGTTTCAAGTAGCCACGTTACTGGTAACCTGCTGGAGTCTTCAGTAACGTTCGGACGTATTTGTAGGAATACGAGATGACTAAGGAAAAAATTAATTTTGCTGCCATTTTACAGTATTGTCTATCAAATTACGTTACTCCTTACTTTTGATGAAAATCTTCCAGGTTTTCGGTTTTTTTTAAAAGCACTAACGCACCGTCGGGACTTCGCTGTATCCTACAAATTCGACAAACATAGGATAAACGTATTACGAGATCGTTCTGTAGACGTTTAATTGCTGTCAAATAGCGTAACCACAGCTCATCGCTGCCAAATGCTAAAATCAAAAGTAACGCGAAAGTAGCGTTCGTTAGTTTTAGAAAGTAACGGCATTGGTATTTCGTTGGTTCTGCAGGACGGTAACGAACTTCAGTAACGCGCTTTTTCGTCACTTATTTTCAGTAAAGGGTACAACACTACCTTCCCCCCCCCCCCTTTTTTTGTGTGTGTGTATGATCGCGGGGAAAGGTGCCGACCAAATTCGGTCGCCGGGCACATTACAAATCTCTGTAGCCCAGGACAATTCAAAAACAGGAGGACGAGGTTAGGACGTTTGGGTAGGCTACATTTGGCGACAAGACGTTTTGGTGCGGACGTTTCAGTGCGGACGTTTCGGTACCGGGTGTTTGTGTACGCGCCACGTGGTTTCGGTAAGTAGTCGATTGATGAATTTAGGTTCCGGAAGCTTATCTAACCAAAGAGAAATCCGCACTTAAACACCGACGACCAATTTGCGCTTTCCACTTTTCCCTCGCTTCCTCCTCTCCCTCCTTTTACCCTGTCCACCGTTTCCTGTTTCCTCCTCCCCCATGGTGAAAAGGATCTTCTGCCTTGCAGAATCTCGAGTCTGGTCGTCGGCCTTTAAAAGTTTTGGTCTGTTCCTCCTTACCATAGGAGGCCATATTAAAATAAATAATAATGGGTCAACAGATGGCCATGTATTACTGCTTCCACCGTACGTTTATCGAGTGTCAGGAAGTATGAGATCTTAGCAACAGGCATAAGAGTTGAATATGAGTTTAGCTTTAAAAGTGAATGAGTTCTTATTTTGCGACTTTCACATTTTCTGAGAGTACGAGATAACTTTTCTTTGTTTTATTCCATTCCGACTTTTTTTTTTATTTTGACATTGACTTCGGAGCTAGAGTGAAAGGCTCGTAGCTCTCGCCAAGCGTTGAGTTTATTATACTGTCTGTGACTAGTACGTAACGCCGTAAAAACTTTTCCGGAGGCATAAAAACCACAACTTGAAACTGAATGTTGCCCGAAGACAACGAAAGCACTTTACCTCCTACAAAGCGCGCATCATTTTCGAACGGGTTGTAGACCCTTTTCAAAATGTCCGCGCCATCGGCTGTCCGCCATTGCATGGTCACGTACACACGAGGGCAGAGAATAAGCGTTCGGCGAAGAATCGGATCCAATCAGGCGCTTCGCGTGCCGCAGGAATGGCAACCGTCAATGTCTGCTCGATGAACATTCAAAAAAGACATTAACAGGAAAGTAAAAAAAAAAAAAGAAGTTATTTTTAGTTGTGATTTTATTATTCGAATTACAGATGTTACGCACGTTTGCTCATTTCGCAACCGTATGTTATTATATGTAACTCCTCTGACATCCATCCTAAAAAAAAAAAAAAAAAAAAAAAAAAAAAAAAAAAAAAAAAACGAGCGAACACGTGCGAAAAAAAAACAAAAAAACAACATATTACAAAGTGAAATGACGAACGAGAGCACGAAGCACGTATATGGCTCGACCGGAACCGGAACTGCGCCCTGTCGCCAAGTCCGGGGTCGCACAATAAAAACACAACTCTACAATTAAAAAAAAAAAAAAAAAGAAGACAGAAATAAAAAGAAAGAATGGAGCCATCTTTGGCAGCAATGATAAAAATAAAGTACTATAGTTGATACGTACGAATGTGACAGAAGCGCCCGACACTATACTGTGTACCATCTTTTTTCTTTTCTCTCTCTCTCACTCTAAAAAAAAACACACACACACAAAAAAACTAAACAAACCAAGCGCAGCTGTCGGCTTGGAAGGCAGCAGAAGCGGGCGCGTCAGGAGGCAGCTGGCGTCAGCCGCGATATTCGCATATTCGCGATCTAATTACTCTTCTCCCCGCCTTAGGCTAAGGTCCCTTCACACCTTGGCTCGCACCTCCGCTTCTCACTGCAAGTGCACGACATTGTTTGGTGCAAATGAGAAGCAAACCAGCGTCTCTAAGCACGGTGACGTTATATAGCAAATGTAGGCGAGAACTTAAAAAAAAAAACAAAAAAAACCAAAGCCCTAAAAAAAGAACAAAAAAAAAAAAACACTTGTTCACTTCGTAAATCTTGCCTTCGCCGTTTAATGGCGCCGCTTTACTTTAAATCGATAGTTTTTTCATTTTTTTTAATAGGCTGTTTGTTCCCTTCCCCTCAATATGATGTAAGGCGTCCGTCACTCTGTCACGTAACGTCAAGGCATCACGTTACACCGTGTTTTTTGGAGGGCTTCTGTGTGTTTAAAATAGATGAGTGTGCCATTCTCCGAGCAGACAGCGGCGGCGGTTCTTCCCGGTCAGAGGCAAGATACATAAGGATACATTAGTGTTCGATAAGGTCTCGCAGCTATCGCTTTGATTGATTAATTGATTGATTGGTTGATTTATTAGGATTTCATGGTGACTATACTGTAAATTCATGCAAGATTGCAATCTTTTTTTTTAGGCTGCCAGTTTTGTGTAAATGAATCCTTCAATACTAATAGGCTAGGAAATTATATTTTCAAACTGCCGTCGACAGATTCCCCTTTTTCTATATTATTGTCAATGACACTTAAAAAAAAAAAGCACGGCATAGCGAAGGCCGACAATCTTGTTATCGCTCAGTGCACAATAAGGCTGCGGATATGCAGAGGGAAAGTCGTCTGCTCCTTGTGGTGGAGTTGCGGTGACGTCACAACGACGCCGAGCTGTGATTGGCTCCGATTGGAGGATAGTGAGTAGACCTAAAAGCAAACTGCCTTGAGGTCTACCCACTATCCTTCAGAAATAACCAATCAGAGCTCGGCGTTCTGGCGTCACAACAACTCATGCAAAAGAAGCAGACGAACCTGCGCTCCGCATTGGTCGATAAAGATGCCGAAGGACAAATCACGAAGAAAAAAAAAAAACGTGACCATAATAAACCACGCTCCGCGTTTGTTACACTGTCATTGACCGTAGGCCCACGAAATTCCATATCGGATCTGCCGCCACCACCGCCGCCGCCGCTTCGTCTGAAAGCTACCGAAAGGGCGGTCGTTTGCTGCGAATAGCAGAAGAACCGCTCGAATAGCAGACGACGCGCGCGCGAGCGCGTCGTCTGCTTCTAGCGCGTTCCGCTCGCCGGCGCTAGCATCTGCGCCCCAGGTTTGTTCCCGGCGTGCATCGCTCTCCAGCCACGGGCCTGAGCTCCGTGCGGACGCCGGGTTCCGAGTCGCCGTCGTCCACGGCCGAATCGACGCGAAGTCGACCCTCTTCCTCCGTTGTTGTTGTTTCTTTTTGTGCGTCCCGGAAAACTTACCCGAACAAACGCGGGGCAACCCCAGCAAAGAGTAATCCTCCGAAGAACTGTACCACAGCCGCGGTCATCGTCACGCAAGCCTAGTCGGCTCAGAATCGCGGCGTTCGGCGCGACCATGCCGACGCATTGTTCGCGGTCGGCGGTGGCAAGTGCATTCGTGAACGCTCGTGTTCCTGGTTGTGCGCGTCCCCATCTGGATTGATTCTGGCCGGCTGGCGTGCGTGGATTCTTCCAGCGTCATCTTCGTGCTTTTCGTTCTGGTGTGTGCTTAATTCGGTCTTCGACCCTGCGAGCACCTCGAGTGTGGGTGGCATCGTAGGTTCCCAACTTTGACCCTCCGACTCTGATCTGGATAGCTGTGAGACCTCTTTTGGACACGCTTACCAAGGTGAGTTTTCCCTCTTTCTCTTTTTTCGCTTGGAAACATCACGCATTGTCGAGTCAAGCTTTTGCCTCAACTGCGTCTGCTGCCGCTTAGTAACTGTTCGCGCGGGTCTCAAGAACAAGTGCTTTTCAAGTTCGACCTCTACGCGCGCGTCGCGTTCCACATTGGGCCGTGTACCTCGTAGCGTACCCTTCGTCGGGGCTGCAGGAACGCCCAAGACTGGTCCCGGGAGGAGTGGCTCTTCTTGATTGCGGTCTTTTTCGACTCCGTTTGTTCTCCGGGTCGCCTTCCGGGCTGCTCGCCGTTTTATTTCTGATTTGCACCGGGGGGGACGAGCCTCTTGCGGGGCTTGAGAGAGAAGGGGGACCTCGGGGTAAATTTGGCAGCTTTTCCCCCCGCGACAATGAGGCTGCATTGTCGTCATCGCGACGGTATGGGGAAGACGCGGACTCGTTTCCCAGTTCCTTTCTTCCGCATCGTCCTCGTAAAATTCTGCCAACTGTATTTTTTTTCTCTCCTCCTTCGTGCCGCGCAGACGTTTCCATTGTTGTCAAAACATTGTTCGTACCTAGGCCCAAATGTCACGATGTATCAATTGGGGGCGACGCAATGACGGATTCAAAGGATGAAAATATCGCAACGTGTTAGTATAGAACGGCTGACAGCTGCAACGCTCTTGGGGATCGCTGCAATGTAGGGAAGTAGGTCGGCGAATGACAGGCCGAAAACACATGTTTAGACCTAAAAATGAAATCTGCAACATAACGTGCGGCCGTAACACGTCGCGGGTTGTGTATCACACTGCAAACTTCAGTTTAAGGTCCAGATACATTTTCGAGATCGTGGTTAGCTGAGCTTCTTTGGTGTGTCGCAGTTGATTCGCTCTTCATATTCTCTGCGGAAAGCTGGATGCTGCGCGGGCATTTGTTAGAGGGCTCGTCACATTTTTTTCGGAAGGGTGTATTAGACATTTTTTCTTATTTTATTGAGAAACAGTTCCACTTCTAACAGCTGCATTCACAATAAATTTATGATATCTGATTTAGAGGGTCCCTCCCTTTACATACAACTAAACATTACGCGCGAAACCTAATGTTTTACTTATGGTATATTGTACCTTGATATCTCTTCACATGATGGGTTCTACAAAGGCCTTATCGTTTTAATAGTTATAAGTTGAGCTGATAACACCTGGTTGAAGTTAGAGACATCAATAGCATGAACGCCATAGATGCGGGGCCTCCAAACCTTATGGCTGAGGGGCTGCATTATGTGCCTGCCGCGGCTTCGAGGGCCAGGCAAACGAAAAATAACGTGTGTTACTTTTTAACGGTAACAGTAACGCGTTCTTTTTATTTATGAGTAACGATTAACGTAATTTGTTACTTTTTTTTAGTAACGTTTGCAAGATTGACTTGGTGTCCCTTCACAATAAACGAGAAACCTCAGTGGCAAAAAAGAAAAAAAAAAAACACGGCGTTTACTCTTCTTTGTTTTATGAAATTACTGTCAACCTGAGAAACGCGGGTCGTGGAGAGTTCAGGGCATCTTTGTGTCGTTTACGCGGCCAAAGTGAAATACCCGTCACGAGCCGCTAAGAACGCCTAAAGACAACTCTCGAAGCAAGCAGCGTTTCTTGCGATGTCGGTAACTCCACGTGTACAGTAACGCACGATCTCAATCTTCCTTATCATTGGATATACTTGCTAAAGAAACATACGTGATTGGGGTTTCAAATGCACGCCATACGTAATTTGAAAACTAAAAATAAACCATGTCCCCTGAAAGAAAAAAAGAAAGAAAGAAAAGCATTACGAGGTTGTTATTATTGCGAAAATATGCTACGCATCCCCGAACTGTCGGCCAAAATGTACTGCTAGCTGTCCGAACGGGATCCTAAAGTTTCATAACTAACCACTGTCTTATTCGAAAGTTGTAGGTGATTTCCTTAAATTCTCAATGGGAAAATGGCGGCCCACGGAGCTCTCGAATGCATGGAGCTGAATGGCTTTCGGAACTGCACAAGCGGGCGAAAACGGACCCCATTTTCCGATTGAAAGCTCTTTGACCTTCGAATGAGATGTTCTTAAACTTCGGCACCTGGTTCGGACAGCTAGTGCTATATTTGGACGACAACGCGTAATTTATTTTTGCAAAGATTCTTGTTCTTTTAGAGCGCAGCTCTTAGGGGCCCGTTTCCGGCTTGAGCGGCGTCGCCGTCGCCGTCGCCGTCGGCGTAACCGCGCGGTGCATCATGGGAAATGTCCCATAATGCACCGCGCGAGCCCCCACCGGGGTCACGTGACCTCGTGGGGGTCACGTGACCCCCCGAAGTCACGTGACTCCCCTGAGGTCACATGACCCCCTCCTCGAGGTCACGTGACCCCCCGAGGTCACGTGACCCCCGCCGATGTCGCGTGACCACCCGATGACGTCATCGTCACTGATGACGTCACCGGCATCCACATCGTCATCGTCATCACTGATGACGTCATCGGCATCCACATCGTCATCGTCATCATCACTGATGACGTTACCGGCATCCACATCGTCATCGTCATCATCACTGATGACGTCACCGGCATCCACATCGTCATCTTCATCATCACTGATGACGTCACCGGCATCCACATCGTCATCGTCATCATCACTGATGACGTCACCGGCATCCACATCGTCATCGTCATCATCACTGATGACGTCAACGGCATCCATATCGTCATCGTAATCATCACTGATGACGTCACCGGCATCCACATCGTCATCGTCATCATCACTGATGACGTCACCGGCATCCACATTGTCATCGTCATCATCACTGATGACGTCACCGGCATCCACATCGTCATCGTCATCATCACTGATGACGTCACCGGCATCCACATCGTCATCGTCATCATCACTGAGGACGTCACCGGCATCCGCATCGTCATCGTCATCATCACTGATGACGTTACCGACATCCGCATCGTCATCGTCATCATCACTGATGACGTCATCAGTGACGTCACTGATGTCGCCACCGGCATCCGCATCGTCATCGTCATCATCACCGATGACGTAATCAGCGACGTCACTGATGACGTCACCGACATTCGCATCGTCATCGTCATCATCACTGGTGAAGTCATCAGTGACGTCACTAATGACGTCATCGGTACCCGCATCGTCATCGTCACTGATGACGTCATCAGTGACGTCAGTGATGACATCATCGGCATTGGGGGTCCCGTGACCCCCAAGGTCACGTGACCCCCCCCCCCCTGGTTAGTTTAACCCCCCCCCCCCCCCGTGCCCTTCCCTCCTCCTCCTCAAGAGCTGCGCTCTAATTCGGCGTTACAGGGAGTTGTAAGCGGCTTTCATTTTTCTTTTTTTTTTGGGGGGGGGGGGGGGAGGCAGTTTGTAGGCAGACTTGTGCCCGTTACTTGGAAAATGTAATGAATGACAATTACAAATTACCGAGCCTCAAATGTAATGGCTTACCGTTAATACAGATAACTTTCGTTGAAAAGTAAAGGATTACTTTACTCGTTACGTTACAAATTACTTTCACGTTACTTTACCCGTAAACTCATCAAGAAAACAACAGAAGCAATCTTGATGTTTTCAGAAGCATATGTTCTGCAATGCTATTTTTTGTTTCTCATTCTCAGGAGAAGAAAACCACGATGAAAGGCTATGGAAAGAAGCAGAGCCTCTCGGCAATGTCCGTTCTTGATCGTTGTTTTTCGCATCTTTGTATATGCATTGCACGTTTTTCGAGTGGCTCTAAAGACCGGTCATACAAAACATCGTGTTTTATATTCAATTCTACTCCTCCTAAAGATATTTTTTTTTTAGCTTGCTAGGTTTTATGTTGCTGAATTGCCTGTTTCGCTCTCTATATTATGTCTATATCTAAAAAAAAGGCAACCAGTAATTGAAGTGATCTGTTGCCAATAATTGTAACGAAATTACATTACAAATTACTTCCCCAGAAAAGTAACGTGACAATTACAATATTACTTGAAGAAGTAGCGGATTACGTCCCAAGTCTGTATTGTAGGTCGCCATCGCATCCAGGCAACCTTGAATGTTAAAAATGTTCGTGCTTCTCACAGTTTCGTCATTGAAACCGTAAAAAAAAAAAGAATATTTTAAACGTTATGAGAGGGGGAAGGCAAGGATACATTGTTTTCTTTGGCATTCCTTTCGCGGCAGCCTGCCAATCTGATTTTTCGCGCGTTCTTTTTCTTTTTTATAACGTCACGTCAAACGCCGCCTCTTTCTGGTGAAGCCCTGATAACTTGTGTCTGATGAATTCATTCAGCGGCCCAAAATGTGTCCATTGTAGTGTTATATCTCACTATTATAAGCGCGTACAGATAGTGCACTTTACGGCATCCTCTAACTTGCGATCGGTCGCAACCTTTAAAAAAAAAAAAAATCTTGTCACTTGCGTTTGTGTTACAAAAATGGCGAAAGGACGTCGTCGGGTGAGGAGAATGGTGCTCCAGAGCTGGTGACTCGACACACCCTTTTCAAAAAGTCCGCACCGACGCCTGTCCGCCATTGCTCAATCACGCACTCTGGGCAAGGATTGGACACGAGTGTGACGTCAGCGTTCGGCGAGGACTCGGATCCAATCACGCGCTTTGTGTCCCATGGATGGATGGATGGATGTGAATGGCTATACTCTTTGTAACGGGAGGTAGCTTGCGCCACCTAGACCAAGTCTAAAAGAAAGACCCAGCATGGCAATTGCCAATGTTGCTCGATGAACTTTAGAAAACGGTCTATTCTTCTCGCCGCTTGGAATTTCAGGATTTTGAACGCCAGCCGACGCTGGCAGCTGACGGCAATGTATATACATGCTGCTTTACGGATTCGAAGGAATAAAACATCATAAACGTGCGACAGTGAAGCTTGCAGCTGTGACGCGACCAACGATCTCGTATCTTTGAAACCATTACAGGCATGCAGTGTGGTACAGTATGTGCCTTTCCAAGAAACGGGATATAAGA